ATTTTTTCTCTTCAAATTCAGCATGTACTTCCTCTTCTTGAAAGTGAACAAGATTACTGAGAAAAGGACTACCGCTGAAGCTGAAGCAACTGTGATGAAAAAAAGATATCTATGTTTATGAATCAAACAAAACAAATGATACTGAAATTTGTAAAAGTTACCTGCGGCAACAACCAGTTTCAATTTACTCTTTCCTGCAGCAGAAGTCAGAACACACGTTAGATGAAGAGAACTTCATAAAAATAAGATGGGAACTCATTTTTCTCAGTATACTAGATCCTGCATGTACATCTTTACGGGGTATGTATGATTCATGAACATGTGATTTCACACAGTTGTGAAATAAAAGCATCTGGACTCAAGATTTTCTGTTCAATTGTCTGTTACAGAAAATCACTACTATGCAATTCAACAGACTTTGAAGTCTGGAAATGATTTAAGATTCTAATTATAATTGAGATCACTTAACCACTATAGATTACAATGCTAAAAGACAAACTTTAAAAAACCAACGACTTAGTCATACATAATTATATTAGGAAAAAATATTATTTTACAGGAGTTATTTATTTTTTGATAAATGAATATTTATAATTTTATAAACGTTTTATACTTTTACTAATTATGTAAAAAAAAAAAAAAAAATTTCCATGTATAACGTATAATTAAAAACAATAGTTGTGGTTGTCAAAAGTTTTTTTTTTTCAGCATCACAAGACTCGATTAAATGAAGATATTGCTTATAAACCACAAGTTAGTGTATATGATCCAAAAATTACGTGAATTCATTTGTTAGTCTGTTCTATAGAATGTGATAGATATCGAACATCTTTTGAATTATCCTAATAAAAATAATTCGAAGATGAGCATTACCTATTGATGAGAAGATTATTAAAGGGATATTGAATTACTGTGATCATAATGATAACTGTGGCTTATAAATTATTTATCAAAAGTGGCCTTTCAAATCAGTAATTTCAAATAATTACTTTCTAAAAATGTATATATATACGAACAAATTAGGGATGAGGTTGAGTCTCATTTGAATACAAGAAAAAGCAATTAAGAGCCTGTTTCTAAAAATGTATTTTGAAAATAATGAAACCAAACAAAGGCTAAATATGAAATACATATGTTGAGAAATAGCTAAATTGACCAAATAGAAATTAGCATCTAAAAAAATCTTATTAAATAATTTTGATTACTATATTTAATAATTAAAAAATCATGTTCAAAAGCCGGTGTTACCTTTTACACATCGAAATCGANGGGATCGGAGGATACGTTCCTCGAAAGTAAGTATGCATCATTGATTCGTCTTTTATGGCGCCAAATGAAAAAGCCTAACACGCAAAGTACGACTATACTTCCAGGTATAACTGAAAATCAGAAAACAGAGAAATGAGGAACTCACTACAAGAAAATGAAACGAGAAACTGTGATGAGAATAATGATTTCTTCCATTAAATTGAAACAAAGAAAAAAAGGGAAGTAATTAAGTAAAGAAGATATGTAGGTAAGAACAGAATTTCGAAGTCTACTGTGTAATATATGTATATTCTTTTACCTGTGAATAATAAAATCAGCTTTAACTTGCTCTTTTCTGCATTCATTGCCAACATCAGCAAATATGTCAGATCAGGTCCAATTGGTCAAATAAAAATAAAATTTCTCTGTTTTCATGTCCTTTATAAAACCCTAAAAAAAGCATAAAGAACATCTATACATGTAAAGAACATAAATCAAATGTTTTCATGTGGATTGATTGGCATATAGAAACAACAATTGAAAATTTATCAGTAACACATAAAAACCAAACAATTTTATATGCTTTAGAGTTAAAATCACATTAAACCCTGCTCTTGATTGCTGGCAAAAACACAAATCAGGAAGAAGCATGTAAAAGAATAACTTGCAATCGCAAAAGCCGATGCTACCTTTTACAC